CACACACACACACACACACACACACATACAGTATACTGTATATATGTACAGTTTATATGTACAGGCCAGTGGTCACTCTTTCAGAGATGAGGATGTTCTCATTCTTGATAGAGAGGAACGTTGGTTTGAGAGGAGTAAAAGAAGCCATTTTTGTGAAGAAAAACTGTCCATCATTAAACAGAGGTGGAGGCTTCCGTTTTCAGTTGTCCCCCTCCTACAGTGCTGCTATTGCCAGTATCACTCCACCCCCTGTTAACAATAGGTGTTAATTAGGTGTCAACGATAGCCATGTGATGTGAGTATCAGTCACATGCAGGCAGTGCTTAAAAGCCTGAATTTTTGCCTAAAACTCTCAGACTGAAGAAGTCTCTTGGAGGAGAGACAAAACGTTTTGAGAAGAACCCGTCCAGAAGACCTATACAATTTTTTTCTTTTTGATTTTTTACCTGGATTACTGAGATGCATTAGGACAGAGAGAGAAAGAGTTTTAAAATTTCCAGGAGGTGGAGTTCATAGTTCGTTTATCCAATCACAGGACTAAACGTCACAGAGAGGTGGCAACTTTTAAGTCCTTTACCCAATGGGCTAGCAGGGTATTGTCTTTCTAAACTCAGACAAAGAGAGTGGGCGTACCTATATTTAAATGTCTTTTGCATATTAACCAGAGGAAGGATTTAGTTTTAATGATCCTTTTTTGCCTCAAAAGAAATAAAATGAGAAAATTAAAACTATACTAAAAATACACCTTTAGTGGATATTAAAATTTCTTCAAGACAAACACAGAACTTTGGTTTAGTTGTTTAACCTTTGACTAGTAGATAATAGTAAGCTAGTTTTGTCAAAGGGAATGTTGTCACATAATCATCAAAGATCAAATTTCCTAAAGTTTACTAATTTGCTAAAATATAGGTAACCAAGAAAGCATTACTTAGATAAAGAAAACAACTGTTAGATCATGAAATGAAACACATCTTGGGCAGGAGTCATGATTCTTAAACATGGAAAGCTGATATCAAATGAATAGTTGTTTTAAAGGCCTTTATGTGTGTTACATGATTAAAATTAATGCTTAAGTGGTCTCTGATGCCCTTCTGAAAGTAAAACATTGTTAATCACATTTCTTGTGTAGATTAAAACAAACATTTTTCATACAAAGAAAGTTTATTTTCTTTTTTACAATCAAACAAAAAAAGAGGATTTTTTTTTAATCTTTCTTGACAAGAAACATTGAGGAGTTTGGGTCCCAGAAAGTGAATTGATCAGAAGTGACAGTTCTGACACTATTAGGAGCACTATGTAGACCAAAAGCCTGGGATCTTGATTTAAGTGGCTCAAAGTGAATTCAGTCAACATCTTTGCTCCTGATAAGATCAGCAGATGTTCTCTTGGGGTTTCTTAGGCCCTCTTTACCCAATACTGATTTTGGGTGAAACCAATGGTGTTTTGCTGTGGTTTGGCCAATTGTGTACACGACACCAGCTGTTGTTCTCTCTGAAACCAGAGGTTTCTGAATCTTGGTCTCAGAGTGGAGATTTTCAGGAGAACTCTTCGCGGTGGTGTGATATGCCCCGCTGGTGTGAAAGCGCATATGCACAAGCTGCTGGCACACAGCAAAAGTTTCTTCTAAACTAACAATTACAATAAATTACAGACAACAGTTTTGTTTTGTTACTCACTCTTTGCAGCTTGTAGGAGCAAAACACAAAAAAATCCTAGGTCCAAAGTTACGTTAGTTTATTCACCAGGTTTGGACGTAACTACACTCACCGGCCACTTTATTAGGTACACCTGTCCAACTGCTCGTTAACACTTAATTTCTAATCAGCCAATCACATGGCGGCAAC